CTCTAATAAAAATATTCAATAAATATAAAAGAAAAGATATTGCATGACAAGATTTTATCGTTATAAATTTAATAACAAAATCAATCCCAATTTCGAATATCTGGCATTTCATTATAAAATTTCTTTAACAAAAAATAGTGACACCGAAATCCATGGGCGCGTCATAGAGCAAATATCCGATTTCTCTTGTAAGAAGGTGCGTCAAAGGCTGAAATTCTTCGGAGGCTTTTAATACAATACGCCCGAGCATGACGTAGTTTCCCAGTGCCTTTTCTATAAATATTTTCATGGCAATTTTTCGGTACCTAGACTTTAGGAATTTAAACATTGTCAGAGATTAATGAATATATCAATTTAAACATTGTCATAGATTGTAGGCATAATATCATCCTTTACAGTTGAAATTGCTAGATGTAACCGTATGTTCTCTTCTAACAGTTTCTTCTTTCGCACTTCTTGCCTGTGGAACTCTCTTCTGACTTCCCAGCCAAGTTTGAGCTGCCAAAATTTAAGTTCGGTGTCAATCTTTATCTTCTGTCGTCTTAATTCCTGTCCTTTTGTTGTTCCCTTCCCTTAATAGTGTTTTTCCCATATTCTGTCACACTCAGTATCTTGCTTGGGATGAAATTATTTTTATAAAATATTAAATTTTACTACCAAAGAAAAGTGGTAGAGCAACTATGTTCTCATAAAGAATATTCGTTTTTCGCGAACATAGAAACAAATAATATATATATATATATATATATATATATAGGGCCTGAGGATTGCATCTAGCATGAAACAGACTGTCGGCTCTAAGTGTTGACTTCTATGTTCCTTTATATTATATATATATATATATATATATATATATATATATATATATATATATATATGATGACTAGACTCGTTTCGAAAAAACCTCGAATTTTTGATTTGCTAATCAAATCAATCTCGAGGGAAAAAGGTTTTAAAAAGAAAGAGCTACAAACATGGACTTCTGCCGACAAAAAATCGCACAGATGCAGGTCTGAAGCCCAAAGAAAAAAACCCCGATACGAGTAACAACTAACTAACAAAAGAGCTCAATACAACTGTAGAGCAGACCTAGATACACTAGGTGTATCTATATATATATATATATATATATATATATATATATATATATATATATATATACCTTTTCCTTTAAGACAAATACCTTTCACCCTCTCCCAACCACTATCTCGTGCTTTTCGTCTGATTGAAACACTGAAATGGATAAATTCTGGATTAGACTTTCGAAGGGTTTTTTTTTTTGTCACAGTTAAATTTCTAATTCCGACATGAACTCAGTCTATACCGGGGTTGAATAAGACCAACGAATTTCGTCGGTTGAAATAAACCATATGAGGTATTTTTGGATTTTATTGTGTACTACTATTTATTGGCTCTTATATACATTGAGCTCTTTTATGGATCAGTTTTAATATTTTATATTACTAGATCCACTTGGATTATATATCAACGGATTTATTACCTTTTATATATATATATATATATATATATATATATATATATATATATATGCGTGTGTGTGTGTGCGTAAAATGTAAAATATAAATAAAATATATCTGTAAGGTGACAATCTGAATAAAGACAAAGGGAAACTTATCTTAACCGACGCGTTTCGTCCTCTGATGGACTTTATCAAGGTAAATATAAGGATTTTATTTTGCAACAAGTATTTATAAACAAAAGTAAAAATGTTAGATTTTCAAAACGAAAATGCAGGAGACGCTCATAAATATTCATCAGGTTAACTGAAAAGTCGTGGAAAACTATGGAAGATGCTAAGTGATGTAATTTAATGTTTAATAAACCTAAATGAGTAAATGTTGTTGAATTTTTAAAAAAATATTATTATTTATATTATTCCAGTTTGGGATTAATTTATGTGTTATATATTTTAAATAACAGAGGGTTATGAATTTAAGCGTTTTCTTTTTAACATTTTTATAGTCATATATGTTGGCTTGGGAAAAGAGTATTTCTTTTAAAAACGGAGATATTGTAAAAAGTCGCATTTATATTTTATTAGTCATACATAGAAATAAAGTCAACCGCACCTTCGACTTAATGAATATTATAGTTATTAAAGGAGAAAGTAACTGAAACGGAAAAACTCTCGAGGGTGTCACTATGGTTTTATAACAAAATATAAAGCTATTGTTTATAAATATTTGCTGCAAAATAAAATCTTGACATTTGCCTTGATAAAGTTCATCTGAGGAGGACGAAACGCGTCGGTTAAGATAAGTTAATAATATTGTTGGTTAATAAATTATGAACATGGCCACAACGAGCTGACTATAATTAAAAAACATTTCTATTGCTAAAAATTTTTTTAAAAATAACATCACAATCTACATATTAAGAGAAACAAAAACATCCTCGATAATGGTTAACAGAATAGCCGAAAGCGCTGGAAGCCAAAGATTATTTGGACAGTTCACTCTAAATCCCAGAAAGAAATAGCTTATATGCATGCAAGAAAAATATAATAAAATACTTAGCGCAGTGCCTTTTCAGTCGTCTTCAATGAACACACACACACACACACACACACACACACACACACACACACACACACACACACACACACATATATATATATATATATATATATATATATATATATATATATATATATATATATATTTGGAGTAATGGATAGCGGCTAAGATTGAGGAATCGCAGAGCCGAGTTCGAATTCCAGTCGAATCCATTACATTCACTTACGTGCTAATACCTTTGTGAAAGGTATGAATCCTCTTCCTCTCCCTCCAGCTATGGGTAAAATAGCAGGACAGACTGGCTTCTATAGCCTTGGATGGCAACTGGTCTAGGAGAAGTACAACTCTGAATTCAAAACCTGTGGAGGGTCGTTTGGCAACCTTGTGGCATTCGGTGCACCAGATCTCTTTATTCGTCCCTTCAAAAAGTGTGGATGATCCTGCACGAGGCCTTCACCACTATAATCAAATCTCATGTGCCGGTGTCGGGCTGTCGGTTTCCTGAAAACTAATCTGCTTGGCCCTCATACGTCGAATCTCGACGGGAGAGTCGATTATATGTATATATAAATATAAATATAAATATAAAAGTGAACATTGAATCAACACTCAGAGGCCACAGGCTGTTCCATGATAGACGTAATCGTCAGGCGTCTAGCATGAAACAGCCTGTCGCCTCTGGAGTATTGACTTCAATGTTCGCTTTTATATTTATATTTACATACGCTCTATCTCTGGTATTGAGCACTTTTATCCCATAAATATAGCACACCTTTAAGAATATATTTCTTCATATATATATATATATATATATATATATATATATATATATTGAAATTTCGAACTGAACTCTTTATTTCGTTCACCAGGATAGATTGTTCTAGTTCCACGTGCCATGCCTCATCCAGTTGTCTCAGTATCAGTTGTCTCCCTTTAACTCAACTCTCCAATTTTTTTGTTCACCTCTGCTGTAGCCAAGTATTGGACTCACAATTCTTTCGCTCAGGTCACTTGATTCAACTAACGCTTTTTATTTACTGGGCCATGGCACATGGAACTAGGACAATCTACCCCGGCAGACGAAATAAAGTCTTCAGTTCGAAATTCCAATCACCTGAAGAAGGTCGGAGTATACAGCGGCAAAACGTCGTGAATATGGCAACGAAGATGAAGACAACAGGCCGAACAATGTAAATAGTGTAAATAATTACAATACCTCATCTCAGAAATATAGATAGATACTCCTATACTAAATTTGTATATACTTTGCTATCTTTTCTGACAGTTCCTGCAATTTTCTTTCTGTGTTTGATACAAACACGATAACATCTATATATTTTAAGCTGTTATGATTGTATCCATCAATAATAAATCCCGGTAGGACTTCTAATTCTGTTAAATAACATCTCAGTCTGCTTTTCATCTATAAGGAAATTGTCCAGCATTTACTACCATAAGTGAGTTTGGAATAATATATCTTTCTTTGTTTCTAAATAATTTTTAATACAAAGTGCAAAAAAAGAAAAAAAAGAAACGACATTTAAAATGTGAATATCTGATTAACTACATCTTCCAGGCAAACGAACTTAAATAGGTTCATGTTAGGCAATAAACGATTTATTTATCAAAATTCCAACAAGATATGCAAAGGAGTGTTAATTTTACAACCGATTTCACATAGCTTCACAAATGTTCAACATGTGCAGCAACTGTGACACGGCACACCTCATAACTATAGTCCAGCTACTGCCAAACACGCTGTAGCATGTCTTGCGTAGCATTCTTCAGCGCCTAAATACGGACTTATCTTAGTAGGAATCTACCATAAAGATAGATCGGGCGTTCCAGTGATAATGACAACGTGCTGTTGAAATGTAGACCACGTTCACCTGACTTGACACCATGTCATTTTTTACTACGGGGTTATGTGAAAGGACAAGTCTATATCCCCACCACTTCTTACAAGCCTAGAAGAGCTTAAGAAGAGAATCACTGAGACACTGGAGAATGTTACGCAAGATGTGCTACAGCGTGTTTGGCAGGTGCTGGACTAACGACTTAACGTAATTCTTGTCATAGGTGGTTCGCATAATGAACATGTGAAGCTTTGTGCAATCGGTTACAAAATCTATATACGTTTTAATATCTGGTTCGAATTTTGATAAATAAATCAGCATATGTAAAGGGGTGAAAATTTTGCCTCGGACATGTAATTACTCTGTCACATTTTAAGTTATATCAATCTTTGGGGGGCATACCTTGTACTTTGCTTAGTTTTTGGGAGACTATCTTTCGCCCTTCATATGCGCCTTTAGGTTACCATATTAGAATTAATGTTACCAGACTACCTAGATAGTTAAATTTCTTCACTTCATTCTCATGTATTTAATCTGTTTTCATACATCTTTGAAAACGTATTAGTAGTTCCTGGCGCCCTTTCGAAACAGAGTAAAGAAAGGTACGATGTATTTGTTGTTCATATGCATGAGACGTGTGTTCAACTGTTTGCATATATCGTTTTCGGTCAGTTTTAATTAAAAAGACGAAACTAAAAAGTTCATCCGGTGATCTCTAAAAGAAATGAGATTGTCTACAAAGGAACGAAACCGGAAGAAATTGCAGTTTCAATTGGCAAATAATATCTTTAACGCAAAGACAATCTACTACGTAGACGTAATGTGAGAAGTGACAATTCTTCTTCTTCTTCTTCCTTCTTCTCTTCCTCCTTCTTCGCCTTCTTCGTCGTCTTCTTTTTTCTTCTCCTTCTCTTCCTCTCTACCAATTTCTTCTTCTTCTTCTTCTTCTTCTTCTTCTTCTTCTTCTTCTTCTTCTTCTTCACTCCCTTCTCCTCTCGTTATTCTTCTTCTTTTCTCCCTAGTCCTCCTCCTTTTTCTTCTTCACTTCTTTCTTTCTTCTTCATCACTCCTTTTTCCTCTCCTTCGACTTCTTCTTTTCTCCCCCCTCCTCCTACTCCTCCTCCTTTTTCTTCTTCTTCACTTCCTCCTTTCTTTATTCTTCTCTTTTATCTCCGCCTCCTTTTTCTTCTTCTTCTCTTCCTACTTCTCTTCCCCTCCTTCTTCTTCTTCGTCTACCAACTTCTTCTTTTCCTCCTACTCTTCATTCTACTTCTCCACTTCCTCCTCCTCCTCCTCCTCTTGTCTTCTGCTTCTTTGTTTACTCTGTCACTGTTTGATTTCTTCTTTTTACTTTTTCTTCAAAATTTATTTACTCTTGTTTTTCTCCTTCATTTTCTTTCTTTCTTTCTTTCTTTCTTTCTTTCTTTCTTCTTCATCACTCCCTTCTCCTCTCCTTCGTCTTCTTCTTTTCTCCCCCCTCCTCCTACTCCTCCGCCTTTTTCTTCTTCTTCACTTCCTCCTTTCTTTTTTCTTCTCTTTTATCTCCGCCTTCTTCTTCTTCTTCTTCTTCTTCTTCTTCTTCTTCTTCTTCTTCTTCTACCAACTTTTTCTTTTCCTCCTACTCTTCATTCTTCTTCTCCACTTCCTCCTCCTCCTCTCGTCTTCTGCTTCTTTGTTTACTCTGCCACTGATTTCCTCTTTTTACTTTTTCTTCAAAATTTATTTACTCTTGTTTTTCTTCATCATTTTCTTTCTTTCTTCTTTCTTCTTCTTCTTCTTCTTCTTCTTCTTCTTCTTCTTCTTCTTATTATTATTATTATTATTATTATGTTGTCCTAAATTAGAAACGTCCAAGACAAACATGTCCCTTCTCCTCTATACTGACTTCGTGTCACAATAGACGATGACGAAAAACGCAGACGGGATATTAAAAGCGGACAAGCCAAGAAAAAGCCAACCAATTTTTACATAACAGAGCGTAAACAGAACCGATCTCATAACGGCATCTTCCTAAAAATATAATGATCAGCTACCTATTTCGACTTTATGACAAACGACTTCATTATTATTGTTCTCAAATGAAATTTTCATGCCAGCTGTGTTTACAAGCTTTTACAGACGTGGAAGAGGCAGTAACATCAAGTTTCTTAAATACCCCAAAACACCCTCCTAGAGTATCCTTGTCTACTCATTCACTACTGTCTTCTTAATAACAAGAATATCAATGTTTCATCATTATTATTATTATTATTATTATTATTATTCGCGCTCTTTCGTTTTCAAACGGAGATCTTGCATATTGGGTGTTCCCCTTCAAGTCTGACGACCTAAGACAAACAGCACCTTTTTATTTGCAGTGTCAGGCAACGCAGACTTCTGAAGCAATGGGATATTAAACTTTATTCGGATTTTCTCGAAGTAGGACTTTAATTTCGGTCGTATAGACCCCAACGATCCGAGAAAATAGGGGCCTGGACGTCCCACATTCTGGCAACTTCTGTCGCCATGTTTATTACAGCGTTTCGGTCGTTGTACGCTCCGGCCTTCATAAGGTGGTTGGAATGTCGAACCGAACCCTTTATTTCGCTCACCGGGGTAGACTGTTCTAGTTCCACGTGCCATGTTTCATGGATGTCAGTTATCAGTTATCTCCTGTTAAATTCCCTCTGAAAGTTCCGCCTTAACCGGGTATTGAACTCACTCTTTGGGCCCTGTCACTGGATTTAACCAACGTCTTTATCCACTGTGCCATGTGTCCTTGAGGACACATGGCACAAGGACACATGGCACAGTGGATAAAGGCAGTGGAGAACTTTCAGAGGGAAATTAACAGGAGATGACTGATAACTGACATCCATTAAAACATGGCACGTGGAACTAGAACAGTCTACCCCAGTGAGCGAAATAAAGGGTTCAGTTCGAAATTCCAACCACCTGAAGAAGGCCGGAGGGTACAACGGCCGAAACGTGGTGATAAATATGGCGACAAAGATGAGGACAATAGTCCGAATAATGTAAATAATGTACATAATACCTCATCTCAGAAATATAAACAGATTCTGTCCAGAAGTTGATCTTTTCCTTGACCTTGTCTATTATTATTATTATTATTATTGCAATTTTCTTTCGTGCTGTTTTGGTTTTCATTAGCAAATCGAGTATTATGATTAACCGCCATCAAGTTGCACGGCCACAGAAAATAAGGACCATTTGTGCGTTAATTATTTGCACGTATCAAAAGTATTTTCGTTTTTACAGACATTTACTCCAAAGTTTATTTAATGTACACATCTAAAGACTATGACTGTTCAATATTATTATTATTATTATTATTATTATTTGTGTGTATTATGTTTCCTGCTTTGTGTCATGTAGAGCCGGGTCCAAACTATGGTCCTTAGGCGAATTGTCTTTTAATCAATTGAACTTTTCTTAGTATATGGGATGTTCCTAGTAGGGCGATCATCTGGGCAACTGGCATTTTGTTCTTACTTAGAGCACTGCTAGTATAATAATAATAATAATAATAATAATAATAATAATAATAATTATTATTATTATTATTTATGTGTGTTATTTTTCCTGTTTTGTATCTTGTAGATCCGGGTGTAAACTATAGTCCTTAGCTCCTAAAGGAAAATTATCATTTAATTGATAGCACTTTTCTTCTTCTTCTTCTTCTTCTTCTTCTTCTTCTTCTTATTATTATTATTATTATTATTATTATTATTATTATTATTATTTTGTGTATATTTCCTGCTTTGTATCCTGTAGAGTCGAGTCCAAATTATGGTCCTGGGGCCCTATAGGAAAATAGCCATTTAATTGATAGCACTTTTTTCTTCTTCTTCTTCTTCTTCTTCTTCTTATTATTATTATTATTTGTATATTTCCTGCTTTGTATCCTGTAGAGTCGAGTCCAAATTATGGTCCTGGGGCCTTATAGGAAAATAGCCATTTAATTGATAGCACTTTTCTTCTTCTTCTTCTTCTTCTTCTTCTTCTTCTTATTATTATTATTATTATTTGTGTATATTTCCTGCTTTGTATCCTGTAGAGTCGAGTCCAAATTATGGTCCTGGGGCCCTATAGGAAAATAGCCATTTAATTGATAGCACTTTTCTTCTTCTTCTTCTTCTTCTTATTATTATTATTATTATTATTATTATTTTCCTTGTTTGTATATTTCCTTATGGTCCTGGGGGTTTGTATCCTGTAGAGTCGAGTCCAAATTATGGTCCTGGGGCCCTAGAGTCGAAAATAGGTCCATTTAATTGATAGCACTTTTTTCTTCTTCTTCTTCTTCTTTTATTATTATTATTATTATTATTATTATTATTTGTGTATATTTCTGCTTTGTATCCTGTAGAGTCGAGTCCAAATTATGGTCCTGTCCTAGGAAAATAGGAAAATAGAGTCGAAAAATTAGCCTGGGGCCTATTGATAGCACTTTTCTTCTTCTTCTTCTTCTTCTTCTTATTATTATTATTATTATTTTTTATTTGTATATTTCCTGCTTTGTATCCTGTAGAGTCGAGTCCAAATTATGGTCCTGGGGCCCTATAGGAAAATAGCCATTTAATTGATAGCACTTTTTTCTTCTTCTTCTTCTTCTTCTTCTTATTATTATTATTATTATTATTTTTGTGTATATTTCCTGCTTTGTATCCTGTAGAGTCGAGTCCAAATTATGGTCCTGGGGCCCTATAGGAAAATAGCCATTTAATTGATAGCACTTTTCTTCTTCTTTTTCTTCTTCTTCTTCTTCTTCCTTAGAGTCGAGTTAAATTATTATTATTATTATTATTTGTGTATATTTCTGCTTTGTATCCTGTAGAGTCGAGTCCAAATTATGGTCCTGGGGCCTATAGGAAAATAGCCATTTAATTGATAGCACTTTTCTTCTTCTTCTTCTTCTTCTTATTATTATTATTATTATTATTTGTGTATATTTCCTGCTTTTGTATCCTGTAGAGTCGAGTCCAAATTATGGTCCTGGGGCCCTATAGAAAATAGCCATTTAATTGATAGCACTTTTCTTCTTCTTCTTTCTTCTTCTTCTTTTCTTCTTATTATTATTATTATTATAGTGTATATTTCCTTTTCTTTGTATCCTGTAGAGTCGAGTCCAAATTATGGTCCTGGGGCCCTATAGGAAAATAGCCATTTAATTGATAGCACTTTTCTTCTTCTTCTTCTTCTTATTATTATTATTATTATTATTTGTGTATATTTCCTGCTTTGTATCCTGTAGAGTCGAGTCCAAATTATGGTCCTGGGGCCCTATAGGAAAATAGCCATTTAATTGATAGCACTTTTCTTCTTCTTCTTCTTCTTCTTCTTCTTATTATTATTATTATTATTATTATTATTTGTGTATATTTCCTGCTTTGTATCCTGTAGAGTCGAGTCCAAATTATGGTCCTGGGGCCCTATAGGAAAATAGCCATTTAATTGATAGCACTTTTCTTCTTCTTCTTCTTCTTCTTATTATTATTATTATTATTATTATTTGTGTATATTTCCTGCTTTGTATCCTGTAGAGTCGAGTCCAAATTATGGTCCTTATGGTCCCTATAGGAAAATAGCCATTTAATTGATAGCACTTTTTCTTCTTCTTCTTCTTCTTCTTCTTCTTATTTATTATTATTATTATTTGTGTATATTTCCTGCTTTGTATCCTGTAGAGTCGAGTCCAAATTATGGTCCTGGGGCCCTATAGGAAAATAGCCATTTAATTGATAGCACTTTTCTTCTTCTTCTTCTTCTTCTTCTTCTTATTATTATTATTATTATTATTTGTGTATATTTCCTGCTTTGTATCCTGTAGAGTCGAGTCCAAATTATGGTCCTGGGGCCCTATAGGAAAATAGCCATTTAATTGATAGCACTTTTCTTCTTCTTCTTCTTCTTCTTCTTCTTTGTATCCTGTATTATTATTATTATTATTATTATTTGTGTATATTTCCTGCTTTGTATCCTGTAGAGTCGAGTCCAAATTATGGTCCTGGGGCCCTATAGGAAAATAGCCATTTAATTGATAGCACTTTTCTTCTTCTTCTTCTTCTTCTTCTTCTTATTATTATTATTATTATTATTATTATTTGTGTATATTTCCTGCTTTGTATCCTGTAGAGTCGAGTCCAAATTATGGTCCTGGGGCCCTATAGGAAAATAGCCATTTAATTGATAGCACTTTTCTTCTTCTTCTTCTTCTTCTTATTATTATTATTATTATTATTTTTGTATATTTCCTGCTTTGTATCCTGTAGAGTCGAGTCCAAATTATGGTCCTGGGGCCCTATAGGAAAATAGCCATTTAATTGATAGCACTTTTCTTCTTCTTCTTCTTCTTCTTATTATTATTATTATTTGTGTATATTTCCTGCTTTGTATCCTGTAGAGTCGAGTCCAAATTATGGTCCTGGGGCCCTATAGGAAAATAGCCATTTAATTGATAGCACTTTTCTTCTTCTTCTTCTTCTTCTTATTATTATTATTTATTATTATTTGTGTATATTTCCTGCTTTGTATCCTGTAGAGTCGAGTCCAAATTATGGTCCTGGGGCCCTATAGGAAAATAGCCATTTAATTGATAGCACTTTTCTTCTTCTTCTTCTTCTTCTTCTTCTTATTATTATTATTATTATTATTTGTGTATATTTCCTGCTTTGTATCCTGTAGAGTCGAGTCCAAATTATGGTCCTGGGGCCCTATAGAAAATAGCCATTTAATTGATAGCACTTTTCTTCTTCTTCTTCTTCTTCTTCTTCTTATTATTATTATTATTTGTGTATATTTCCTGCTTTGTATCCTGTAGAGTCGAGTCCAAATTATGGTCCTGGGGCCCTATAGGAAAATAGCCATTTAATTGATAGCACTTTTCTTCTTCTTCTTCTTCTTCTTCTTCTTCTTCTTATTATTATTATTATTATTTGTGTATATTTCCTGCTTTGTATCCTGTAGAGTCGAGTCCAAATTATGGTCCTGGGGCCCTATAGGAAAATAGCCATTTAATTGATAGCACTTTTCTTCTTCTTCTTCTTCTTCTTCTTATTATTATTATTATTATTTGTGTATATTTCCTGCTTTGTATCCTGTAGAGTCGAGTCCAAATTATGGTCCTGGGGCCCTATAGGAAAATAGCCATTTAATTGATAGCACTTTTCTTCTTTTTCTTCTTCTTCTTCTTCTTCTTATTATTATTATTATTATTTTGTGTATATTTCCTGCTTTGTATCCTGTAGAGTCGAGTCCAAATTATGGTCCTGGGGCCCTATAGGAAAATAGCCATTTAATTGATAGCACTTTTCTTCTTCTTCTTCTTCTTCTTCTTCTTCTTATTATTATTATTATTTTGTGTATATTTCCTGCTTTGTATCCTGTAGAGTCGAGTCCAAATTATGGTCCTGGGGCCCTATAGGAAAATAGCCATTTAATTGATAGCACTTTTCTTCTTCTTCTTCTTCTTCTTCTTCTTATTATTATTATTATTATTTTTGTATATTTCCTGCTTTGTAAATCCTGTAGAGTCGAGTCCAAATTATGGTCCTGGGGCCCTATAGGAAAATAGCCATTTAATTGATAGCACTTTTCTTCTTCTTCTTCTTCTTCTTCTTATTATTATTATTATTATTATTATTTGTGTATATTTCCTGCTTTGTATCCTGTAGAGTCGAGTCCAAATTATGGTCCTGGGGCCCTATAGGAAAATAGCCATTTAATTGATAGCACTTTTCTTCTTCTTCTTCTTCTTCTTCTTATTATTATTATTATTATTTTTATTATTATTATTTGTATATTTCCTGCTTTGTATCCTGTAGAGTCGAGTCCAAATTATGGTCCTGGGGCCCTATAGGAAAATAGCCATTTAATTGATAGCACTTTTTTCTTCTTCTTCTTCTTCTTCTTCTTCTTCTTCTTCTTCTTATTATTATTATTATTATTTGTGTATATTTCCTGCTTTGTATCCTGTCGAGTCGAGTCCAAATTATGGTCCTGGGGCCCTATAGGAAAATAGCCATTTAATTGATAGCACTTTTCTTCTTCTTCTTCTTCTTCTTATTATTATTATTATTATTATTTGTGTATATTTCCTGCTTTGTATCCTGTAGAGTCGAGTCCAAATTATGGTCCTGGGGCCCTATAGGAAAATAGCCATTTAATTGATAGCACTTTTCTTCTTCTTCTTCTTCTTATTATTATTATTATTATTATTTGTGTATATTTCCTGCTTTGTATCCTGTAGAGTCGAGTCCAAATTATGGTCCTGGGGCCCTATAGGAAAATAGCCATTTAATTGATAGCACTTTTCTTCTTCTTCTTCTTATTATTATTATTATTATTATTATTTGTGTATATTTCCTGCTTTGTATCCTGTAGAGTCGAGTCCAAATTATGGTCCTGGGGCCCTATAGGAAAATAGCCATTTAATTGATAGCACTTTTTTTCTTCTTCTTCTTCTTCTTCTTATTCTTATTATTATTATTATTATTATTTGTGTATATTTCCTGCTTTGTATCCTGTAGAGTCGAGTCCAAATTATGGTCCTGGGGCCCTATAGGAAAATAGCCATTTAATTGATAGCACTTTTCTTTATCTTCTTCTTCTTCTTCTTCTTCTTCTTATTATTATTATTATTATTATTATTATTTGTGTATATTTCCTGCTTTGTATCCTGTAGAGTCGAGTCCAAATTATGGTCCTGGGGCCCTATAGGAAAATAGCCATTTAATTGATAGCACTTTTCTTCTTCTTCTTCTTCTTCTTCTTATTATTATTATTATTTGTGTATATTTCCTGCTTTGTATCCTGTAGAGTCGAGTCCAAATTATGGTCCTGGGGCCCTATAGGAAAATAGCCATTTAATTGATAGCACTTTTCTTCTTCTTCTTCTTCTTCTTCTTATTATTATTATTATTATTATTTGTGTATATTTCCTGCTTTGTATCCTGTAGAGTCGAGTCCAAATTATGGTCCTGGGGCCCTATAGGAAAATAGCCATTTAATTGATAGCACTTTTCTTCTTCTTCTTCTTCTTCTTCTTCTTCTTATTATTATTATTATTTGTGTATATTTCCTGCTTTGTATCCTGTAGAGTCGAGTCCAAATTATGGTCCTGGGACCCTATAGGAAAATAGCCATTTAATTGATAGCACTTTTCTTCTTCTTCTTCTTCTTCTTCTTATTATTATTATTATTATTATTTGTGTATATTTCCTGCTTTGTATCCTGTAGAGTCGAGTCCAAATTATGGTCCTGGGGCCCTATAGGAAAATAGCCATTTAATTGATAGCACTTTTTTCTTCTTCTTCTTCTTCTTATTATTATTATTATTATTATTATTTTTGTGTATATTTCCCTGCTTTGTATCCTGTAGAGTCGAGTCCAAATTATGGTCCTGGGGGCCCTATAGGAAAATAGCCATTTAATTGATAGCACTTTTCTTCTTCTTCTTCTTCTTCTTCTTCTTTTCTTATTATTATTATTATTATTTGTGTATATTTCCTGCTTTTGTATCCTGTAGAGTCGAGTCCAAATTATGGTCCTGGGGCCCTATAGGAAAATATAGCCATTTAATTGATAGCACTTTTCTTCTTCTTCTTTCTTCTTCTTCTTATTATTATTTATTATTATTATTTGTGTATATTTCCTGCTTTGTATCCTGTAGAGTCGAGTCCAAATTATGGTCCTGGGGCCCTATAGGAAAATAGCCATTTAATTGATAGCACTTTTCTTCTTCTTCTTCTTCTTCTTCTTCTTCTTCTTATTATTATTATTATTATTATTTGTGTATATTTCCTGCTTTGTATCCTGTAGAGTCGAGTCCAAATTATGGTCCTGGGGCCCTATAGGAAAATAGCCATTTAATTGATAGCACTTTTCTTAGCTTTGATTGTTCTGCTGTGCGTATTTTGAAGTTCTATAAAATTGTTACAAGTCCTATCTCTGTAACCGGGTCTGGGTAATGTTCATACCCGTTTCTCGCAGTTTCCTTCCCGTATTATTATTATTATTAATATTATTATTATTATTATTATTTCCTTTGATTTTTGTTGTATACTCATTTCCTTCCGGGTCCCAACCAGAGAATGTTTTCTCAATTCAACTCGGCATTTAACACCAGGCGCACACGCCGCCAGTATTCTGTTCTTACTTTCTCCGCCATTTTGGAATGTCATATTCCATCTTCGCTGACTCGTAGATTTTTATAGGCTTCTTCTTGTTCCAAATTCTATAATCTTTGTGACAAAAATCGAGATCTATTGAGAGTGTTTCCGTAATCCTCATCTTTCTAGAATCTTAATTTTGTATATTTATTCCAGTCGGTTTCATTAGAATGACATACGCGCAAATACAGACTCAGAGTGATATAAAGATAGATAGATAATGAACTGACTGAGATAGATAGATACTGAATTGATTGAGATAGATAGATGGATAGATGTGAACAGACTAACACGGATAGATAGATAGATAGATAGATAGATAGATAGATAGATAGATAATGAACTGACTGACATAGATACTGAACTGATTGAGATAGATAGATAGATAGATAGATAGATAGATAGATAATTAACTGAGATAGATAGATAGATGTGAACAGACTAACACAGATAGATAGATAGATAGATAGATAGATAGATAGATAGATATAGATATATAGATAGATAGATAATGAACTGACTGAGATAGATAGATACTGAACTGATTGAGATAGATAGATAGATAGATAGATAGATAGATAGATAATGAATTGAACCATATAGATAGATAGATCATGATTTTCAAGTATCTTTGAAGACCGGTTTTTGTGGTTTTGTAAGACAGTTATAGTTGAACTAATCCTCCGCCTTTCGGATCTGGGCACATTCAAGCGATCAACATCATCCTTAGGATGAAGCATGCGGTGGCAAGTGAGAAGCTTTCTCGTTTTGACATCCATTCACTTAATCCTGCCAGATGTAGTTTATCCTCACATAAAGGTCCAGAGGGAACCTGGGAGCAACAGCTATTAAGAGGTGGGTCTACGCTCCTCAGAAACCCCAATCCCTCCATCAGAGGCCTTGCTGCCAGATGTAGTTTATCCTCACATCCAGGCCCAGAGGGAACCTGGGAGCAACAGCTATTAAGAGGTGGGTCTACGCTCCTCAGAAACCCCAATCCCTCCATCAGAGGCCTTGCTGCCAGATGTAGTTTATCCTCACATCAAGGCCCAGAGGGAACCTGGGAGCAACAGCTATTAAGAGGTGGATCTACGCTCCTCAGAAACCCCATCCCTCCATCAGAGGCCTTGCTGCCAGATGTAGTTTATCCACACATCAAGGTCCAGAGGGAACCTGGGAGCAACAGCTATTAAGAGGTGGATCTACGCTCCTCAGAAACCCCAAACCCTCCATCAGAGACCTTGCTGCCAGATGTAGTTTATCCTCACATCAAGGTCCATAGTGAACCTGGAAGCAACAGCTATTAAGAGGTGGGTCTACGCTCCCGAAATCTTGATCAGAGGCCTTGCTGTCGAATGTAATTTATCGACATACCAGTGACTAGTTATTTTTGTTAATCTCATATTAGGCCAAAAATCTGTGTTAAGTACGAATTTTTTGTGCAACACCTAACCCTTTATTGCAGTAGATTACTATAATTGTCTTATTCTATTATTAATTACCAGAAATATCCGCGAAAATTTCACTGATTTCCTATTTTGATTTTCTGAATAATCATCATTCTTAAGTTAATGATCAATGCTAGTTACTCGACTAAACAATAACCGTAGTAATCCTCCAATTGATTCAATAAATATTTAAGCTTAACAAGTGTAACAAAATATTACAATAACAATCATAAATATGAAAGCAGGTCATTATTTCAAGAAATAACAGGGTACAAACGAAAGAAAATTGAAACTGTCAAGTTGTTTTGGTTACACGGAAGCAGAAGTTAAGCACATGAGAGGGCTATCGCCGCTTCCATCTCGTTTTTTTTCTTTTGTTCTCAAACGAAACAACGTCTCTGATATGTCTTTTCCGTTTTTTCCTTGTGATCAAAACAGAATAGTTCATTGTTTAACATGTCGTAGTGTAGGTACTATTTAACTAAGACACGAAATAGAGGGAGATTATAATATGATTGTTGTTAATCTATTATAGTGTCTAATAAGAACGAATCTTGTATCTGTCACATAACTTTTATTAGTCTGTTGTTAGAATTATTTTCTTTTATTATTAGTTATTGTTGCTAATCTCTTATTGTGCCTAATATGATCTACGGCAAGAAAGAATCTTGTATCCATCACATAACTTATTACAGTCTATTGTTAGAATTATTTTCTTTTATTAGTTATTGTTGATAATCTCTTATTGTGCCTAATAAGATCTACGGTAAGAACGAGTCTTTTATCCGTCAAATAACTTTTATTACAGTCTGCTGTTAGAATTGATCTCTTTTATTATTAGTTATTGTTGCTAATGTCTTATTGTACCTAATAAGATCGACGGTAAGAACGAATCTTCTATCCATTAAATAACTTTTTATTACAGCCTGTTGTTAGAATTGTTCTATTATGAGATATTTTTGTTAATCTCTTATTATGCCTAATGTCTCGTCCGTTTGTTTCTTAATTAGAATGAAACAAAAAATATTTCCATAAACTATATTTAGATAAAACTTAGAAGTGTTTTTGAAATGTACTTGGCGTTTTATTGCTTGTATAAAAATACAAGAATTATTCATCCATATTATCTCGTTATCATAACCCAAGAAAAAATTCAAAAGGTAGAAAAATTCCACGAACATATCAACATTCGATAAGAAGATAAACTGTCTTTAGGTACGGTGGTCACTAGCAAATAAATAAGAATGGATTCATTATGAGAGTCTAAATAGAAAAAATATCAAGTAACTTGATCCAGAATAGTTGAGTGAGCTCAACAGAGTGAGAGAATGGCTTGTTCGAACGACATATTAGAAAGTCATTTTTCTCTGACAAAGTCTTATGTTGCAAAAGTGGCGCAGTAAGGAGTAAATGAAGCTCGGAAAGGAAGTTCTTTCAGAAGCAGCAATATCCCACAACGCTACATGGAGGTTACAGAGACGTTGTTTTGGAAGCTCTCTACTGTATGCCCGCAAAGTTACCTTGTGACTTTGCAAATTCGGTGCTTTGATTCTAATTCTGAGTCTGTTCATTATCTATCTATCTATCTCTCTATCTATCTATCTATCTATCTATCTATCTATCTGGGTCTGTTCATTATCTATCTATCTATCTATCTATCTATCTATCTATCTATCTAAGTTTGTTCATTATCTATCTATCTATCTATCTAAGTTTGTTCATTATCTATCTATCTATGTATCTATCTGAGTCTGTTCATTATCTATCTATCTATCTATCTATCTATCTATCTATCTATCTATCTATCTATCTATCTATCTATCTGCCTTTTCTCTCTCGGTTTGTTCCTATCTATCCATCTCAACACACACATATATGTATGATAATATAGTTTTAAGGTATGCTTTATTTATGGGTTAATGTGCTCAATATCAGGGATAGAGCATATGTGGACCTTGAAGTCAGCGCCTAGAGGCCACAATCGCCTTTCATGCTAAACAATTGGCCTGAAGAATGCGTTTAGCATGAAACAGACTATCGTCTCAGGGTGTTGACTTTTTTGCCCACATTTACATATATATATATATATATATATATACATATATATATATATATAGGGAGAGAGAGATAGATAGATAGATAGATAGAGAGAGAGAGAAAGAAAGAAAGAGAATTAATACAAATATGAAGTTTGTCAATTACTTGATTGGTGTTACCTTCAGCATCTCGAGTTTCTTAGACGGACCATCCAGCAATCACACCGTCCACTCTTCAGATACATGTATATATATATATATATATATATATATATATATATGTATAAATACAATTAGACAAAACAAGTATACCAGCCACCTCCACCTCTATTTTTATTTCAAAAACTAATTTGTCCGCTCAAAGCTAACCCTAAGTTTGATGTCAAATTCTTTCCTAAAATTGAAAATATATGAAAATAAATCAGTTTAATTAATCAAGCTCCAACTGCATTTAAATTTTAAAATCTGGTCCACTTTTACTCCTACTTATCGCTAATAAACCGAAGTTGTTTTTGTTTTCTTTTACCGCTTATTTCGAAGTCGAATGTAGGTAAAAAAAATAATTACTAAAACAATTCCCCAACAATGTGTCTATTTATTCCTTCTGTGCTTCCATAACCGTGAACTCGGCTGATTTTCTCAATGGTACACAAGAGCATCCGAACAAACAATATCTGCGTTCCCACGAATGGCTGCCATCTGCCGCCCGGGCCAACGCACCTGCGAGCTGTTTTCTTGCTTTTCAGCGTATAAAAATTTTAATTAATTTTTCCTAAGTCCTCCATGCATTTTTTGACTTGCGCATTAATAAATACAGACAAATCTTTACAGAGTCGCTTTTGAACATATGCTTCTAAAGAGACAAGACAAGAGAAAACGAGACGAATATTATATTATCTCTTTCGAGAAGAGCTATTCATCAAAACCTGATTTTTTTTTTTACGGTCAATATTTGTTTGGACACTACGCTCGGTTAGACACATGACTGGCTAATATCGGATATTTTCATCTGAAACATTTTTCATATTTAGAATAAAAAAAAATGGGTGGTTTACAATTTTACAACTTGATTATATTTACTTGTATTACCGTCATTATTCGGACGGTTATCCCCATCTTCATTGCCAGATTCATAACGTTTCGGCCGTTGTACGTTCCGGCCTTCTTCAGGTGATAGGAATTTTCGAACCGAACTCTTTATTTCGTCCGGGGGGTATATTGTTCTAGTTCCACGTGCCATGCCTCTTCCGGGATGAGTAGATAGCGATAAGTTGGAAGAGAAACTGAGTAAGAGTAGGTGAAGCCCTAAATAAAACAACTATGTTTTTGTTCTTTGTTTTATAATATCAATGATGATGATTTGTAAGTACTTCCGGTCCCACAAAAGGAATGCTGGGAGATTGGGAAACAGATTTTACGGCTGGTTGAATGAAACAGTTGTTGAGCTTGGCGTTTCTTCTGTTGCTTCAGCTTTTCCGAAGTCAGTCTCATATAGTTTATATAGGCATGGTGGAGTAATGGATAGCGGCTTGGATTGAGGAATCGGAGAGCCGAGTTCGAATTCCAGTCGAATCCATTACATTCACTTACGTGCTAATACCCTTGGGAAAGGTGTGAATCCTATTTCTTCTCCCTCCAGCTATGGATAAATAGCAGGACAGACTGGGTTCTATAGCCTTCGATGGCAACTGGTCTAAGAGAAGGAAAACTCTGAATTTAAACCTGCTCTTAGAGGAGGGTGAATGGAGTCTCTCTGAGCCTTGGTTGGCAATCCATTTAGTGTTGGTGTCACGATAAAAACACCCTTGATAGCTTGGGAATCCATTTAGTGTTGGTGTCACGATAAAAACACCCTTGATAGCCCTAGCGAAGCATCAAGAATTCAGATATTTGACAAGATTATGAACTACACCAATCAAAGTATTGGTGAGTTCAATCTCGGCTGAGGCCGCAAGATGATGATAGATTATCTTTTCACCATCAGCCCATTTTCTTTCTCTTTCACTCCCAGTGGCTCCTTGAATCTTGATAGCATTACCTTGTTTGGGGTGGTGCCTCTATAACCCTCTACCTTGAGTGGCTCTTGATGTTTGGATAGAGTAAAAAAAATCTTGA